GCACTGTGTTCCTCCTGCACGCGTGGATACCGTTAGAGGCGGTGCACCTGCGCCGCTCCGGCAAGCTTGTACGTGGGATCGGACGAGCGGCTATTCGAGGGAGATCAGACGAGGAGGAGACGATCCACATTGACGCGCTGCCCCAACTCTTCTTTCGCTGCACGGCACTGCGGGTCTAGAGGTAACAATTTGTGATCCATCTCCCATAGCATGTTCTTGGTTGTTCTGCGCGTAGGAAAATTTTAATTTGCAGTCGACGCACCTTACCATAGAAGCCAATAGTGGTATCAGAGCCTCTGCTCTAGGATTTGGGTTCAGATCGTATGCACATTAGATATGTGGAGGCGGTAGATGAGATCTATTGTTGTTGATGAGATCGGCTGTGTGCACGGTTAATGAGATCAACTGCACATGGGGATTGATGTGGCTATGTTTTTTGATGATCGGAGTCGATGAGGTCGTGACACAGCCTACCCCTACCGGTCGGTATCGGCCATCGGGGTTAACAGTGAAACGTAAATCCGAATCGGACTTGCGATGATCGATAAGATCGGTCAGATCGGGGACCGCTGTGTGCGTAGCGCCTTGTATTTCATACACGATCACTCAAACCGGTAGAATGTGATTCTGTGCGTAACTTTCTTTTGCAGGTTTGATGTGATAGTATGGCTCATGTGTATGTGATGCATGTGTGTAATTTATACATGGCATGCGCGTCATGTTTGTCAGCCGGCAGGAGCCAAACTGCTGTCATTATAATGTATAACGACCTGCGTGTCGACTTGTGATTCTCTGTAAAATTCATTACTAGTTGTAGTAGTTGGATTATAGAGATCAGGTTGGTGGCTTGGCGTCCTGGCGTGACAAACAAGATGGAGTTCCTAGATAATCATCGGAGTCAGAGCCGACCTGGAAGAACGTCCATAAAGGAGCCATACTATTTCACAATATGTGTTTATTTCTGATTGTTATGCTTCCTTGTTTCCATGCATGTTAAAATGGTAGAAAGATCCCTCATGAATATCAAGCGAAATGTCATCCCGATGTTACACCTTCGCACATCAAGTACGTCTAGTAGTGGGCTCATGAAATTGGGGTGCTGCTGGGTGTCCTTGAACTGAAGGGTTCGTGTCGGACACGGACATGCACTGCATCAGGTTAACTTGACAAGGCTATCAAAATGGTTTTGGGCCTTGTGGCAAAGAAGGTTGGGAGCCGGGGTATAAGATACCTACCCGACCGACAGGAGTCATATAGAGATACATTAGCAAGAAGTTGCTTACCGGATAGGTATGTTGGCTAGCAGTGATGCTAAAGCTCACTAGTCGCATGCGCTAGTCGGATCCCTAATCACTGAGAGTCTGCGGAGGGATGCTGACTTCAGTGGGAGTATTTCTATTTAGCCTTGAATTACTCTACATAAACACATTGCTTAGTGATTGCATATTTTTTTGTTGTAGATCAATGGCACCACCTGCTCAACCCAACTTTGCATTGAAATCAATTCTGCAAAAGGATAAACTGAATGGAACAGAATTTACCACCTGGTATAGAAATCTGAGAATTGTTCTCAAGCATGATAAAAAGGAACATGTTCTAGAGGATCCACTTCCAGAGGAATCTGCCGACAATGCTAATGCCACAACCAGGAATGCCTAGCACAAACTTGTTGATGAATCAAACGAGATCAGCTGCCGCATGCTGGCTTGTATGGAGCCTGATTTGCAGTAGCATTTCGAAGATGTTGGGGCTTTCGATATGATCGAGAGTCTCAAGAGCATGTTTCAGGTGCAAGCTAGGACCGAAAGGTTCAATGCTTGGCGATCCTTGATGGATTGTAAGCTGAAGGAAGGTGATCCACTGAGCCCGCATGTGATCAAGATGAACGGATACGTGCAAGCTTCGGATCGGTTAGGCTTCCCGCTCTTGGATGAGCTCGCTACTGATTCAGTTCTGGGTTCTCCTCCGCTTAGCTATGGGACGTTCATCTCGAACTATCATATGCACGGCATGGATAAGAAGCTCAATGAATTGCATGGGATGCTTAAGGTGGCAGAGCAAGATATTAAGAAAGGCACGCATCAAGTGTTGATGGTGCATAACTCGGCTAAGTTCAAGAAGAGTTGTTCCAAGAAGAAGGCTAAGGCAAAGGGCACGGAGATGGTAACCTCCACCGTTGCACCGAAGTCAGGACCGGACTCGAAGACCATTTGCTATCATTGCAAGAAAACTGGTCACTGGAAGAGGAACTGTAGCAAGTGGCTTGCTGAGCATGGCAAGAAGGCCGGAAATGCTGCTTCAGGCGAAGGTACACTTGTTACATATGTTATACACATTTAACTTGCTGACATACCTAGTACCTCTTGGGTATTTGATACCGGATCGGTTGTTCGTATTTGCAACTCGATGTAGGGGAAACCGGTGAAAACCACAAGATAAAGATATTTTGAAGTTTCCAAAGAATCCGAAAAAAATATGGAATGTTAAGAGGATGATGTTTTATTGCCACGTAAAATTTTCGAAACACGTTACAAGATGCGAGCTATAAAAAAACAAAATCAGCGTTGAATAGCGCCGAACGTAATGTCCCTATTTTGGGCTAAAATTGTCTTTTTCATAGCTCACATCTCGTAATATGTTTCAACTTGAAATTTTGCGTGACAATAAAACATCACCGTCTTAATATCCCACATTTATTTCCAGATTTTTTCAAAAGTTTGAAATATAGTTTCCACGAAGTTTTCATTAAACATTGGTTTTCATATGATATTCTCGGTTTCCCCCCGACACGTTTGACAAGCCATGTGCGCATCCGAGGTGCTGCTAGCTAGGAGCGCACTTTGGGCACACTCACCGCCAGTGATCACGTCAGACGCTAGCTAGCAGCAGCAGGCGGCGGGGTCCAAAGAAATCAATCACCTCATCATCAGGCAACTTTGCCGATCGGGTCCCTTGGCTAGGCCTTTGCCGGAAGCGCACCGCTCGCTGGAAGCAAGCGAAGTGTGAACCGCCGTGGAACGGCCGGTGCTCTCCTCCGTCGTCGATGCAGCTGCCATTCCCTCGCATGCTAAATTTGCTAATCGATCGAGACAGAGTGCACCGGCCCTCGTCACACCGAATGTGGAAGCTCATCCCCACTTGGATCCATCCATCCCCTCCATACCTATTACTAGACTACCACCGCACATGCGTGCACTGCACTGCATCAGTATCACGCACGGAACGGGAGCGAGCGAGCACACGCCGCCAGCTTCACGGCGATCATGGGTGGGAACGGAGGTGGTCCATGTACGCACGAGCCGGAAGCTGGAAAGGGCAGCCAGCTAGTCGTCCGGGCTGGGCCGGGCCGTCCGATCCACAGTCGCATCCATGCAACAAGCCGACGAGGCGACGGCACGGTGGCGCATCATTGCCATTGCCTCCACCTACCGACTAGGGCTGCGGGACGCAACAAAATGTGACGTGTGGACTTTGAAGGGGCCAAGCCACTCTCCACGGTAGTATTAGGTTCGGCAGTACAGTTTTCTTCTTCTTTTTTCGCTCCGAATAAAAGTGCATGTTCTCTTCCACCTTCTATAGACAGGGCAGTACACTTTGCACGTTTTGCAATGTACTACTCTCTCCGTCTTACATTATAAGATGTTTTTTCACGCTACTGTCGTGTAAAAAAACATCTTACATTATGACACGGAATAGTACTATATACTAGATGACTAGTACTTTCTTCGTAAAGAAATATAAAAGTGTTTAAATCACCAAAGTACGCTTTTATATTAGTTTATGGAGGGAATAATATTTGTCTTGAAGGAAAAACATGATCTAGATGACCCCGCTGTCCAGCTACGGAGCTACCAGTAGGTCAAAACTTCATGTGACATGAGTTGTTTACATAGTAAGTACTCCTAAGTCCTAACTTTAGTTTACGGAGCTACGAAGCTACCAGTTGTTTACGGAGTATTTTTTTAGGTAACAAGAGCAATGAAGACTGACCCAAGTAGTCGGGCTTGTGTCGGTAAAAAGAAAAACCAAGTTGTGCGTTTACTCGTTGGCAGGAGAGCGTCAACAAAATATCTACCCGGGGTCTCGGGCTGGACTCACTGACCGGCTCAGGAGCATTAACAAACTGGCATGAGCACATGAAGAGGCAGTATTCCCTGTTGATGACCTGCCAATGTGGGACACAACTGCCTCCTTGCTCAGTGTTCATGACTAAAAAATAAATCAAACGTGTAATGAAAGTGATGCCCTTCAAAAAAAATGAAGGGTAAAGGCCTATTTTTCGCGGGAAAAAGGCAAAGGCCTTTTTGATTCAGAATTATTGAAAAATTTGGAGGATTCAAATCCTTATGTTTTTTTTCTAGGTGTGTTGTTCGATTAGTAGAAATTGCAAACCATAAAAATTCATTTGTACTTCATACTGCATTTCCCATCAAACCCAACAAATCATGTGTTTTTATTCACACACAATAAGTGTCCGTGACACTCTAATCCGTGAATTTTGCGTTACTATATTTCAAAATCTCGCGAATGACAGGGACCCTAGTTTGACGCTGGTGCTTCTCGCTCGGTGCCCGGGCTTTAAATAAATCGAATCAGCGTGTGTCACTAGGCCAGATCGGGCAACTGCACTGCACAGAATGCAAGAGATACTACTTGCACTACCAAACACTTGCGCCTCTGATAATAAAAATTATATTATATTAGTCATAGATAAATTCAGTGACATGTCGACCACAATAGTACTACAATAATCACCGACTGCTAGCAGTACTACGTACTACGTACTTCTACCTAAAAACAACAGCTCGATAATGATAATTAGTACGCAAACCATCTTTTATTTCAAACGAAATTAGGAAAAAGAATAGGCAGCATAGCAAGATCGATCGACAAAAATGGAACAATATATTGTTCGAGAAATGCTTCCTCCCCATGCCCACTGCCACCTCCACTAATTATAGTACGTACTCATTCATTCGTGCTACCGCCAGGGAATGCCATCATACTACCGCGAGGAGTCCCATCAACGCGAGCACAAGGAGTGCCGGCGCCGACACGCCGACCGCGGCCGCGCCCGACGGGGACTTGCCGGCGGAAGGCGCCGTGGTCGCCGACGCGCCGCCGTCGCTGCCGGCCGATCCGGACGGCCCACCGGCCATGGGGGCGGGCGCCGGCGAAGGCGAGGTCGCGGAGGCCGCTTTGCCCGAGAGGACGAGCTTGGACTTGGAGGCGAGGTTGCCGGCGGCGAAAGCGTGCTTGTCGGGGGCCCCGGCGGTGACGGAGGTGCCGACCTGCCATATGTGGTTCACCGCCTTCATCCCGCTGTGCAGCTGCAGCTTGCCGTAGAGCCGGATCTTGCCGCCGCTGCCGGAGTCGGCGGCGAGGTCGGTGGCCGGGAACGCGATGGGCGTGGAGGCCTTGCCGAGCGGCACGTAGCCGGTGATGTTGTACGTCCTGACGGTGGGCGCGGCGGAGCCGGAGCCCTTGAGCGCCACGAGCGCCTGCGCGCCGGCCATGCCCTCGCCCGTGGGGTTGAGGGCCCAGGCCACCCACCCGTTGGTACCCGCCGGCGCCGCCACGAAGGCCAGCGAGAGCGATGACTTGGCCTCGTCGTAGGTCCAGTGCAGCGCGGCGCCCAGCTGCGGGAGGTCCTCGCACTTGGCGTACGTCTTCCCCGCCGGGAACTTCTCGGCCGCGCAGGCGCCGGCGCCGGCCGCGGTCGCCGCGCGCGTGGACGCCAGGAGGAGCAGGAGCAGCGCGATGCGGTGCGGCATCGTGGAGGCCATACGCCGAGATTCGGGGTGTCACTGGTGAGTGAGTGAGGCCTTGGAGCGTGCGAGTGCTTGGAGTGTCAGTGAGGAGGGGTGAGGACGGGGGAGGGTGAGGTTTTATAACAGGGGAGGTGGGGCTATGCGTAATTTTCGAAGATTTTAGGTGGGTTTGTGGTTAAATGTGTGTTTTCTCTCGTTGCTAGGTCTGGATTTGGTTACGTGTAATGACTAATGAAACCTTTCTAGGTCAGTGCAGTGAATGTCGGCGATTAAAAATGGGTTGAAATGAGTTGCGACTCCTGTGAGTTTGGTGTGCGCGTGCTGGCCACGGATGTCCGGCGGGGTTTCAAACGGAATCCATCAAAGATGGTGAGTGTATGCAGATGGGTTTCTGGGCACAGGCCACCCGGTGAACTTGCCCAGCTCGAAATTTCTGAAGACGTAAATACTGAGTACTAGTGTACTACTGTAATAGTGTTATTACGCATGGTCTGTATAGTACTTTGTGCTACCGATAACTCGCACTGAATTGGCGCGAAAGGGGAAGGCCATTGAAGCCAGACAAGACGATGCCTCGGCGCAGAAGGCGCCACACGGACGCGGCCACGATATATTCCCGTTGTGCCAAACGAGGAAGGAGGCAACGCAGAAGAGGCGCGAGTTTGGCGCGGTCGACGGCACGCCGGGCAACCATGCACGTGACAGCTTTCGGAGCCGGACCAGTCGCAGCACTACACCGCACCACCAGAGCCACCTAAAAGAAAGAAAGAAGATAACCAATCAATGGTCACAGATATCTCCATATGGGAGCTGGCCGAACTTCCCAAGAAACGCAGGCAATCCCAAAGAGGGAGGGTGGGCTCATTTCATTGCAAGTTTTGCGTTGCATGTGGACTGATCATTTTTCATCTTTCACGGCAAGTACGTTAAATGCGTGTGAAATATCTTCCGGCATGGATCAAAGAACTACTATTCCACGCTCATGGACCGGCTGGTTGGTTGGTTGAATGCCTCGTGCATGTTACGTTCCTGTGGCCTAGTGACCGTGCCCACAAGGGACGGCGATATTAAAAAGAAACAGTAAACCTAGCATGCAATGGTTAGCTTAGGAAACACTTCTACAAAGATGCAAGGTTACTAGAGTTGGTGCCACTGCTCGGGCGATATGAAGTTATCATCGTTGACGGAACTGAGGTCTTGTCCCCGTCATTTGGATATCTTTTTCTTGGCCGGGAGGGATGATCATGTGGATATCATATGGTATATCTCTGCATTTATCTCGGCGTGCCAGGGGCAGCGGCACATGGATGCGTGCATGCCCAGCGCTGCGCCTGCACGCACGTTTGGACTTTGAAGGTTGACCCGTCCGTCGATCACCATGCAGATGACGAATGCTGTGACAGTTAGATGATGCATGATCCTTCCTTAATTACGCCCATGACGAATGCAGTGACAGTTTTCAACTTCGGACGATGTAGTTATGTATCAGATCGTTTAGGATGACGCACGCTGTGACAGTTCAGAACTCTATGTGATGCAATTATACGATCCACATTAAGGATGGCAATGGGTAGGGTATGGGCAGGGTAGAGCAATACCATACCCATACCCGTCTAGCCAGTGGGTACAAAATTCTACCCATACCCGTACCCACGGGTATAAAACTTCACCCATACCCATACCCGACGGGTACCCATACCCATTGGGTACCCAACGAATAGAACAAATAGTACATAAGTTGTTCATAATTTTACATTCATTCATAGGAAATTTGACAAAAAATTAAATATCTTAGCTCAATAACAAGTAGATGGGTACAAGACTACTATCAAAATTTAGAAATCACAACATATTCATAAGTCAATAGGAGTAGACGAGTCACTTGACAAATTAATAATTAACTGACAACAACTTAACATTATTTTTAGAAGCGGGCAGGGTATGGGTATACCCACGGGTACAAGGCTATACCTGTACCCTATCCATGACTTAAGGGGTAGGGTATAAGTACTATCCATGAGTATAAAAGTGTGCCCATACCCTACCCATGCTGGTACGGTACCCGTGGGTACCCGTACCCATGAGTAAAATTGGCATCCTTAATCCACATGCGCGTAGAACTGACACTACAGAGTGGAGTGGGTTCTACGTTGCTTCGGACGAATTGTTTCTGGTTTGAATCAGTCAGCACGCAGGGTGTAAAATCTGACCGTATGAGTTTAATACTGTATCTTTAACTTAATCTTCGAAACAACAACGCAATCAAGTAACAGAATGGAGTAACGTGGGGCTGCACACGAAGTCGACTGATTGATCGTGTAGAATGTGAGGGTGATTTGTTATTGGTAATCTGCTGTCAGCAGAATCGGCACACCTGCCTCTACGGAATGAAAGCATGATCTCACATCAATATATTATGGAGCCATTTCAAACAACCTGCCGTCCTAGATCTATATATTGACCCTATCGCCGCATTCATGTGCAAGCAGCAGCAGCAGCAGTAACTCTTAACTCCCATGCTGCTCCGCCTCTCTGTCTTGGCCTGTGATCGAATCAATTATGTCACCGTACCCTGCACAAATTGCAACGGCTGGAAATTTCAAAACGCAGGCAAAAAAAACCAACTCAATTTAGTGCTGCTACTACTAGCACTGCACAGCTGGGTTCCATATAGGGAGTAGGGACTACAGTAATGAATTGGAGACGATCACTCCCATCCCGTGATGTGCTGATGATGCCCCTCCGACATGCTGCCAAATGGTCAGCTAGGTAGATAGATAGATTAGATTAGTTGGGTATACACAAAACTTCACGCGACGCCATCCAGAACCGGAAAGGGAAGGCGACAGGCAGGCAGGCTGCATTTTGATGAACTGAAACTTTGGTTAAGACAACCACACCCGTGGAAGAAACTGACAGAAACAAAACACCATCAGCCAACGCTCGTCGTTTACACAGAAAAGATGGGAGATCACCGCAAAACTCAATCATCTATGATTATGGTGTGTGGACACTTTCTGGTCGTGGCCGTGCCGGCCCGGCCACGCTTTATTCCATGTCTCCTCGTCTTTTACAGGGTGTGTGGAACGAACGAACCCAACTCAGCCGGAGCTTTTAGGTGACGGCGCAGATGCGTGTGCATCATTTCTTCAATGATTTGTGCGCGCCTGTTCATTCTGCTGTGCTTGGGAGTCAGCTTAGGGTTCTGACGGCTTTCAGGTTTGAACTGAATCTAAAGCTCCTTAACCTTCTGATGTTCCTTTTCCGTGGAAAAAAAAGCAGTGCTGCAGATGGGAAGTCACTTGACGGAGGATCAATTCAGGTGCAGTACAAGGTAATCTTTTTCAGAGGCGAGCATTCCGGTCTGGTTGGATTTCACATTAGCGGGAGAATGAAGTACTGCACGTTCACATGCCTTCAGTCGCGAGGTATGGCACTGGGCAATTGGCAAACATCTCCAAAAGAAAAAATCAGATTTTTTAATGTAGAATCCAACAAACAGTACAAGGATTAATTACGAATTATGAAAGGATAGGTTTCACATATACTTATCCCGGTGCATATAATGCACACGGCTCTAGTTTCTGGTTGGGCTGGCTCAATGGCTTTATACGAATTAGCAGTTTTTGATCTCCTCATTTGAAAATGTTTTTTTCTTTTGAAACAAGGCAAAAGGCTTTCCATTTTCATTGAATGAGAAAAAGGTTTAAGAGTCTTGGCCAAAAGACCAGATTACAAGCATCACTCTCGGGGCATTATATTACACAAATATTTCGCCCCGGCAAGGCACCACAGCGAAGCTTCCGCTTTGACGCGAGTCACAAGCACCCCGACCGGAATTGCCGTGCTGCGGAACACACGTGCATTTTGCTCTTTCCAAATTTCCCAAGAGATAAGAAGCATAAGGGAAAGAAGTGCCCTTCGAGATTGTGACCTCCCGGAAGCTATGTTGCGCCACCACTCCTTGACTGAAACCATGCCTCCCCAATCCGTAGGATGGACATCATGTAAACCGAGTCATGTTTTGATCATTCCCAAACTTTAACCGTGTAACGACATTGGAAAAGAAGGTGAACTGCTGATTTTGGCGTTTGTTTGCATAGCGGGCAAAGGTTACAGTTGGGCCAACCCCTACGCTGAAGCCGGTCTGCCATCCAAATCCTATTGTTGATGGCCAACCAAGCAAAAAATTTGCATTTGGGAGGAGCCCAGTTCTTCCAGACCAAAAGAGGCATATCTGAGTCGGTAAGGTCAAGAAATTGTGCGCGGTATGTCGTCGCCGCTGAATATTGGCCATCATTGGTGAGCTTCCAGGAAATTGAATCAGCCACGCCGGGGTTGAGGTGAATGTGTGATAACTCACTCCAAAGGTTGACGAACTCAGCTATGTGGTTCACATCAAGGTTCCCACCAATGTCCACTTTGGAGACCCATGTGTTATTATGTAAGGCCTTCTGGACAGTGCAGTTTTTTCTTGCAGAGATCGCAAAAATATTTGGCGCGATGTCTTTGGGTCTCATACCATTCAGCCAAGCAGACTCCCAAAACGAAGCCCTTATCCCATCTCCAATCAGAACCTTGGTGGCAGCATCAAATATGTCTTTATCTTTGTCATCGCACGGGTTCCCCAAGTTTACCCAAGGCTTACTTGGATCCGTCCAAGCTCCCCACAACCACCGGATGCGAAGGGCAGTAGCAAATTTTTCCAAGTTGAGAATACCTAGGCCACCATGCATTTTAGATTTGCACACTTGCTCCCAATTGATTTTGCATTTTCCACCAGAAACCTTGTCACAACCAGCCCAGAGATATGCACGCCGCAGGGAGTCGATCTTTTTCATGACCTCTACGGGGAGGTTTAGCACCGTGAAGTAATATATAGCAATCGCCGTTACAACCGACTTGACAAGCACAACCCTTCCAGGCGATGCGACGTGTTTGCCCATCCAAGGCGTAAGTTGAGCTGCAATCTTATCCTCGAGGGGTTGGAAGTGGATTCTATTTAATCTTTTGAT